CAGTTTGGCAGAAGTGTGTAGTTTTCATTTTTTTCTTTTCACATAAATGCTTTCTCTTTTTCCAGGCTCCTGCCCCAGCAATTGCAGCGGGAATGGAATGTGCCTTTCCAATGGGATTTGTGAATGTAAAACTGGCTACACTGGCATTGACTGCTCCACTGGTACTCACCAATTTTGAGACTAGATATTTGCTACAAGATCATTTCTTTGTACAAGAGATCTACATTTATTAGTTGTGGCTTTTTTTTTTTTTTTTTGGTTATGAAACAAAGTGGGTTGAGGGTAGGTAACATGCTTATTTCTCAGGGACTAAGTTCTTACCAGCAACCTTATGCGTGATTAATAAAAGCATTGCTTCCAAAGTAATAGGATGTGCTAAGGATGAGCTTTTGAAAAATGTAAACTGGTATAAAAGATCAAGTGTTTGATAATAGGTTATATGTTGGGGTTCCTTTTGGATAATTAAGCTCAATCACTTTTATGTAATTGAGACTTTCTAGCTTATGCTATTCCCCAATTTTTTTTTGAATCACAATTACATTAATTAAAACAGATGAGGTCACCTGCAAGGTGATGGGTATAGTGACAAGTGAACTATGATACTGGGAAAATAGAGGTTTTAACCTTGAGTGTCAGGATACCCTAGATAACCCAGAAAAGAGGATAAAAACATTCAATCAATCTTGTCGAGCAACTTTATAAGTAGGAACAACTTTTATTTAGTTCTTAAAATACAATTTGGTTATTGATTTGTCCCTCATACTGTATGTGCAGCTGTGTGTGATGAGCAATGCAGCCTTCATGGTGGGGTTTGTGATAATGGAGTTTGTGAATTCCGGTGTTCTGACTATGCGGGATACACATGCCAGAACAGCTCCATGCTCCTATCTAGTCTTTCAGTTTGCAAAAATGTACTGGGAAATGATGTTTCTGGACAGCATTGTGCACCCAGTGAACCTAGCATACTACAGCAGCTGGAAGAAGTGGTTATCATACCCAACTACCACCGATTATTCCCCGGTGGTGCTAGGAAATTATTTAATATATTTGGCAGCACCTACTGTGATGAGACTGCTAAACGACTTGCCTGCTGGGTATGTTGGCTTTTCATGCTAAAACTATTCTTTAGCTTTTTCTGTTTTGGTGTAATTTGGTTGTTTTTAGTTACGCTCAACTTATAAATTTTGCTTTGCAATCTAGTTTCTGTTGGTTTTCATTCCTTCATATACTTTCCTAGTTGGTTCACACGACACATTATTTAAGTGCCGCATGTGACTCTTCTGATAAAAACCATATATCATAAGCTGGATTTAGTTGTTTCTATAGATGTTCAATGATGTGATTTTCTTTTATTAGTTGTGGGATATGACTATCCAAACACGAGTGATATATGCAACCAACAAAAAAACAGTGATATACTTTTTTACATTGGTCAGAACTGAAGAACACGAGAATCTAGTTTTTTTATTGAAATGTAATGCTTTCGAACATTGTAGATACCCGAGCATTCATAGTTGGTAATGTTGCCTATTTGTCTGAACAGCTTGACCCTTGATTTTCAGATCTCAATCCAGAAGTGTGACAAGGATGGAGACAACAGGCTTCGAGTATGCCATTCTGCATGCCAATCTTATAATCTAGCATGTGGAGCTTCACTTGACTGCTCTGACCAAACCCTTTTTAGCAGTGAGGGGGATGTGGAAGGTCAATGCACCGGTTCTGGTGAGATGAAATTGTCATGGTTTAATCGTCTGCGAAGCAGTTTTTCTTTGAGAAACAGTTCCTTGAAAGGAATATCTGTAAGATATAGGCAGGTTTAGCATTTTCTTTTTCTCTTTTTGGGCATTTTGGGTTGTAATTTTTTAATCCTTAGATTTAGGGTGTTGCTTACTCATCCAAAATTGTTTAGGAAAAATTGGATGAGGTTGCAGATTTGGCTTTCAAAGAAGAGAGCCTGTTGTAGAGAAAATTGGGAATCTAGCGATAGGGAAAATAGTGGGTAAGGAAGAAAAGGGAAAGGAAAAAAAGGTAGTTGACTTGATTGTCAGGTTCGGCCGAAGGCCTTAAAAGGAAAAAAAGAAATTCTGCTTCATTCCTTTCTCTGCTTTGTATATATCACTTGATCTCTTATTTTCCTGTAGTTTGAAACCATTCCAATTTTGCGTTTTTTATACGCCACCGTTTATTTAAAGGTCTACGAAAAAGGTTGTGGATTATGACCAAGGCATTTCTTTATACATTGCTATTGGATACAAACGTTAATTTACATTTTATGATATCTAAGAATGCTTGTGCTTGCAGTGCTTTAACAGTGCGGAAGCGTGCTAGCTAATTGAAAAATCTTTTTGATGTGTAATTAATTTAGAAATTATGTGTGTGTATATATATATTGGAAATTTACTAAATAATATAAAATGATTGATTTTTTTTTTTTGTATTTTTGTCTCAAGATAGATAGATAAGAACAAAAATTGTATACTAATAATGCTATTGTGTACTATGTCACGTATTTTTGTCTCCTATTGTGTAATAGGAGACACTTAATTTTAACATGTACAATGTCACGTATAATATCAATTTTTAGTAAAAGAATTGTCAGACAATTATACTATATTGAAGGACTTGCCAAATGTTGGCTTTGGTTAGATTCGTTGTTTATAGAATTACCATTTCTCTTCCGAAGGGGGTTTGATCTCCATATCAAGTATAAGATTTAACAAGTACTATCGTGAATCCCCATTCCCGAGTTACTCGTGAAATTTGTGCTTTTTTATTGGACCTTTAAATGAACTATCAAGCTAAACAATTATGATCAACCACGGCATGTATAAAACTCAACACAAGTGTTATATTGAATATACAGAAGACATACACAATTGGTTTAAAGTGCAAAAATTAAATAAGTTGAATTTGCATGTTTGGTCATATTCAAAATATTTTCTATAATAAGGAGAGATCAAAGAAGAAAAAAAAAGGTACGCTAAGATAAGTAATATAATAACAATAATATACAAATTGTACTGGTGTACGAGGTGAAAAGAAGATTAAAAAAATGACAAATAATGTGGTGAGATAAGAAAAATGAAAAGGTAAAAAAATTATATACGTGTATGAATATAAATATTGTGATACTACTTTTACATACCATTTAACACTTATTTTAAACATGATTTTGGTTCACATGAGGGGATGAATTATTTTAAGATCATCGTTATTCATCATTGTTTAAATTTAGAGATTTAGGACGAAATTTTATCACAAAAACCTTTCGAAATAAACCTGACAATACTAAACAGGATAACGTTTGAGGTAAAATGGTTAGAAATGTTACGTTAATAAGAAAATGCTCTTCCTAGGAGATCAATTTTTACTACTCTTCACTCTAACCGTTGTTAAAGCCAACATTCACCGTAAGTTGCGTCATCAGACTCATTACACTAGCTACCATTCTCGAGCCATGAAGAAGATCACGGGCGTGACAAAAAACAAACCATTAATCCATGGACTAAAATGGATCAAACTGAGCCTAATGATTATAGTGGCCCAATTAAAATGGCCATTGATCCCCAAAAAAAGTTGCTTATGTATACAAGATATTTAAATTTAATCAAAATGTGAATAAGTTTGTAGTTTATTTATGTTACATGTAATTAATCCCTACAGTTCTACCCATTTCATTGCCATGACTACTGTGAATCTTGATTAATTTATTGTTTTTATTTGGATATTTCGATGAAACAACTGCTGGGTGAATGGGATTTTTAATAGATGCATAAGGTTCGGACCATTGTAACGTAACCAGGCCACAACTATTAAAAAATAATACTTTTCACGTGTCTATTTGTAATAAACTTTAATTTTAAAAGGAAACAAAAAACATAAATAATAAGAGACAAGAAAGACAAACATTAGGAGCATCTCCTTCTGGATGGCTGATGTTCGTAATGATGTGTCAGGGTTTCCCACATTAAGTTCTAACCTTTAATTTCAATTAAATTCAACTATTATATACATAAAGTAAAGATAGACATATACAAATCAAAATCTTGCCATGCAAACTTACAATCATTTTATTTTTAAAAATAGAGATATTGACCACTTCATGAATTGATAACAGCTTAAAGAAAAAAAGAAAAAAGAAGAGGCTATGGCTAGCAATCTCTTAATTTGTTTATCAACCTCACGAACTATTTCTAGAACCACAAGACACGAGAAAAGTCAAATCAAAATATTTTTAACAATGCTAAGGTTTAAATACGGTTGATTAATGCTTTAAAAAACAAATAGGTAAATGATATAATGTTTTCAGTTTTGCTTACCTAACACATAACCATCATTTACATCCCTATAATACTTCATTAACTCCTCTCGTCCAGCGAAAGCTTACATCTATTAAAGGACATTGATATTTCCGTATTATTTATCAATTATCATTATTTATAATCCAACTTTTAGATAATGATTGACTTTATTCCTTGGTATATAATTTATTGTTATTTATATATAGAAAGTATTCATTTGGGAATCACTTGTTTATTGACCATATTTAAATTTAGTGGCTTTTATAGACAACACTGAAAACTAAAGACAGTTCTTTAAGTGCTAATAACGTGCCCCACCTGGTCACTAGTCATACTAAGAAATGTGTAATATAATCATCAATTCTTGCAAAGTTGGTGGTTTCCCTTATCTATGGTGGGAAAATAAAATGGTTTTCAACAAATAGAATATGTGAACCGTGTTTAGATAGTCCATTCCATGGTCTGATGAAAGAGAAGAGGACATTTCTTACATTATTAAAATTGCATTTCCATCAAGGTTCTTTTTTTGATAGACAATGGAAAAACAACTATCTTCTGTTCTAAAATTTAGTTTTTTCACTGCACAATTTCAATTTGGAAGCCGTCAATGAAAGCTTTACAACCTCTGCATTCACAGAGAGAGGCATTACATTTGACATGCCCAATGATGGACTTAATAAAATTAAAGGACATTACATTTCACTTGGCAATGTCCTCCTCGCGTTTTGAAGAAGATAATCCTTCACCCTTCCTTTGCCAACGCATTTTTTTCACATATGACTTCAAGAACTGAACAAGAAAAGCAACATTCAAGACGGAGTTAAAAACCCACGCGCCGATTCCGTTACACCCTCCTCTTGAGTAATGCAACGAAAGCACCCAAACGTGGCACACCAAATTACAACATAACAGCACCATCTGAAAATTAACGCCCAACTTAAACGACGTGCTTGGCAACCCGATTTCCGTCCAAAACCGGTATCCATACACAACGGAATATACCGCCGTCGAAAACAGAATCGCCAGCACCTGAAGTGACTGCGAAAACTCCAACCATAGAAACGACATGAGCAGCAGAACCGAGTTGTTAAACAATCTAAAAAACGACAGTCTCCGATGACGCAGAACGACGAAGAACGTGCGAAACAAGTGGAGAAAACGAGAGAGGTAGAAAACGTAGGACCAAAAGAAGACACGACCGCAGGGACGAATACCGAGTGGAAAACAGAGCAACCATTCGAAAGAGGTTGTTCTGCTACGCTGCCATAGCCAGCGAGTGTCGCGTGCTTCAGCTTCGGAAGAGAAGAGCATGCCGATGAATGTGGCGATGGAGATTGAAGACATGGCGAGGTTGTGGAGTGCGGGGATGGGACCCAGCGGAACGGGACGCCGGCGACGGAGAATTATAAGGAGGAGGTGAAGGGTTACGGCGGCGGCGATGTAAAGTGAGATGGCGGAGATGAGGAACCACCACGTGGCACCATATGATTGTGTAGAACTCCACCTGAAGGACACGATGGAAGGGTGCTCTATTAGCCAATATTTCAGGCTCTCCATTGCATAAGATATATTCGATGGATTAGTGAATATAATGTGTTTGTGACGTTGGTGTTTCTTGCAACCTTCGGTTTTGTATTCTTCTGTGATGAATTTTGGGTTTGCTAATATGAATATAAGGGAGTGGAATTGGGATTAAATTTTGGACCACCAAAGTTGAAATTGAATCTAAATTAAGATGTGTTTGTGTGTTGTACACAAAGACTTTGGTTTTATATTCGTATTGATTATTTGGTCTTCTCTTGACTAAGGTTATTGCCGTTGTTCGAATTTTCTTTGCTTCATCATCGTCTAGAAGGATACATATTGTAGGAATGCAAATCGTGAAGCCTCTAAGCAGTTCAATCTCATCGTTCGCGTCACGGCCTCTTTTGCGATCTTCTTCTAGTTCTTTGCTCATCGTCCAATGGATTGAGGGGATGGGATGAAATTTAAATTAATTTAAAACTTTTAACTATAATTTATATAATATAATCTTTTAATCTAACAATTGATTTAAATACTAAATATAAAATTATTAAATAATAAAAAATCGGTATACTTTATATGGCTGTAATTTGTTATAAATTTTTGTAGACATTGAATTTAAAATTTTTTAATAAGTAGTTGAACTCTTCGAAATTTTAAAATTATTTCAGCATATAAGAAAATGTTAATTATAAACTACATGCTGATAAATATCTAATGTCTATAAAATATTATTAAACAAATTAAGTAATCAAAACCTTGTTCTTGAAATAAATGAATCTTTTATGATGTTGCGTGTATGTGTGTTTGAGAGAGAGTTTTATCTCTTTTAACTAGACATAGAACCGATAAAAATAAAATGAATTAACATGAATAAGTTCGTCGGTTTTGAATCATAAAATTTAAAGTATGAACAAATTTGATCCTTTTTAGCTAAGCCCATAATTAAAGCAGGCTGAGTGTGGATCTGTCCCATTAAATTTGATACTTACATGAGCCCAAATCAAGCTAGGCTGGGCAGCTTAAATTTACTAGTTTAATTCCACTCGTATCACTCTTTTTTTTTTTAATAAATTTTTTATCATATACAATATTATACAAAATATATAAGTTAATATATGTATATGATTTAAAGAGTTTATGTATTTTTTATTTCAAAGAAACTTTAGAAAGTTAGTTTTTGCATAACAGACACGTGATAAAATCATACAATAATAGAAAGTATTAGTAAAAAATAGTAATTAATATATTTTTTAAAACTTACACATGCGCAAATGAATAATTCTCATTTTCTCTCAACAAATAAATAAATAAGAACAGAAAATATTAAATAATTTGATCTAACACTCTTAAATTGTCAATGATAAATGACGAAATTAATTTTTTTAATATTATTATTTCATATTTTATTTATAAAAAATAGATATATAATTCATCAATGTCAATAAATGTCATAAATTATATTATTTAAAAATACATAAAATATTTAATACTTAAATTAATATTTTATATATTAAATGAATAATATATTTAAAAATAAATTTTAATAGTCAAATGGAGATCTTGATTCACATTTATTCTATCAAATTCAAATAAAATTACTTCAAATGCAGAAATATCTACAGTTTAGAAAAATTTATTTTTTAATAATAAAACTAAAAATAATATTATATAACATATAATAGTTATATTATAATTTTTTTATGAACTTTAATTAATAAAATCTACAATTGATTAAAGTATATTTTTTAATCAATTAAATTATATATTTTTGTTCTCTTAAATGACAGTGTTACAATACTTATCACGTGCGAGTATATACATTTCAAGCATAAATTTTTAATTTATATAAAACAATATATAATAAAAACTTATTATAAATCATAAAATTTAATATATTTCCATAAAAACTCATCACACTAATTAATAATGATAATCAAACCACGCACGAATTCCATGAACTTATGAGTTATGATTTGTTCCCAATAATGTTAAACGAAAGAAGTTTCTTCGTCTTTACCTTCGCAGTTAAACCAATTGCATTTTGCAGGGCACAAATATGATATCGCCTCCCTCTCCTCATTTCTCTGTACGCTTTTGACTATTGACTTTGATAATCGATCGATTCTTAGCTTCGCTCTCTCAATTTTTCGGTATCTTCAGGTTCCAACTTCCTATTCCTTTCTTCTTTCTTTTTTCGTTTTGGATTTTGTCTCCTTAGTTGTTACTGCCCGAATCTGTAAACCCTGCTTTTTCTTATTTGTAGCAATTCGGAATTTTTTTTAAATGCAAGATAGACTTTATATTAGGATTTTTTTGTCCCCTTTTCTTATTCGTGTTTGTTTGATTCTTTCTGCCTAATCATTTTCTTTAATATTTTGCAATTCATAGTGTTTTCTTAATTTCGCCAAAAATTGAGTTTCGTGGTTTACGTGTGGCTTTGTGTTTGTAAAAGAATTTTGCTTGCTTTAAAACGATGCAACAGCTTTTTGATTCATGAATATCACATGTAAAATCTTGATTATATTTATCCCAGAGTGTGTGTCTGAAGATAGAATATGAAAGCCCATTATTGCGTATTATAGATAATTGTATAAGCATCTGAAGGTTAGGGTTTTGTAGATGGCAAGTGGGTTTGGGGAATCAACAAGCAGGTCACCCCCAAGCCCTTCTTACTCCAACAACAACAACAACAACAACAACGATGCAGGCAATTTTGAATGCAACATTTGCTTTGAATTAGCACAGGATCCAATAATCACTTTGTGTGGTCATCTTTTCTGCTGGCCTTGTCTTTACAGATGGCTTCACTTTCACTCCCAGTCAAAAGAATGCCCAGTCTGCAAGGCCCTCGTCGAGGAGGAGAAGTTGGTTCCCTTATATGGGAGAGGAAAAACTTCAACTGATCCAAGATCAAAATCTATTCCGGGAGTTAACATCCCGCATCGTCCGGCTGGTCAAAGACCTGAAACTGCTCCTCCGCCTGAATCAAATCATTTTCATCAAGATGGGTTTGGATTTATGGGTGGGTTGGGAGGCTTTGCACCACCGCCAATGGCGTCCGCAAGATTTGGCAATTTCACATTGTCTGCAGCATTTGGTGGTTTTTTACCATCCTTATTCAACTTTCAGTTGCATGGGTTCCATGATGGGATTATGTATGGTGGAGCGGCAGGTTTTCCTCATGGATTTTCCAATTCATTTCATGGTGTCCATGCTCATAGATATCCTCTGCACACACATCAAGGGCAACAAGATTATTTTCTGAAGAAACTGCTTGTGTTTATTGTTTTCTGTGTTGTTCTTGCTTTTATTTGGCAATAGATTGAATGTGTGCTCAGACTGCTAGCAGAACCAGACTTTTGCTTGCGCTCTTGGTTTTGTAACTAAGTAAATTGTTCATATAATAATACTCTCTTATTACTGTGGCATTCAATTGCATGGTATCCATGTGCGTAATTTCGTATGTAAGAAGCATGGAAGCAAACACACCCATCGCCATGGTAATTTATATCTGAAATCATGGTTTTTGCGCATTTAGCTGTATTTTCTTTCAGATTGTTTTTGTATTCTATTTTTCTGTTGTGGCCAGGGATGGCTTTTTACTTTAAAAAGTCGAATCTATAGAAATACAAGGTTCCTGGATACCGGTGACCTATCTATTCACGCTATGTGTGGATTTACTTTATATAATGTTCAGTTTGATGTAGGAGGAGTTTAGCATCTTCATGTAGTACATTAGTAGTAGACATGTACGTTATAAAATTGGCACTAGTTGACAAATAAAAATTAATTCTTTCAGAATGATATGGCTGTTTTAGGTGGACACATGTTGCTCTATATCAAAATTTTCTTACCTTCTCATTATGTTTCTACTCTCTACTTGCTTTTCTGCCCATCACCTGGTTGGCCTTGAGTGCTTGTCTGTTTATCTTCATTGTAATATATTGTAACTTGCCACATTTCAATAGCTCGTCTGAAAGTCACTGTATCTACTGCCTACTTTTCTGTTATGATTTTTCCGTTAAACATGAAATTTTGCTGGAGATGATTTGCTCGCCGAGTACATTTGTCACTGATAAGATATATATGCTTGTAAATGCCAAATGTTGTTCATTGTGTTCTGCTAAGCCAATAACAATGTCATCCGGTTATGCCATTTTGCACACTGTGCTTCCTTGAGCTCGATCTAATTGGCTCCCCATGAAGAGCCACGTTAATGTGTCTCTTTTACGGAGCCACGTTAGTCTGTGTTTTTGCCATCAATTGCCATAGATGAAGGGGTGATCTTTGTTTGGTCCAGGGACCCAAGTTCTTAATCTTCTGGAGCTGTAATGTTTGAATGATTCTGTTCTAGTGCACTAGTCGTTGTTGTGGGTTCCGTTTTAGGTGGAAAGGTGTTGTGGCCAAGAATGATGATGGAGAATATGTGAAGTTGCGTTTGTTTTAGGTATGTAAATTGGTAATCAATGCTAAGCGTTGAATGGTTTATATAATAAATATAAATTTTTTTATTAAACGCTAACCCTAGCTAATGAAATCCTTAATGGATAACACACCATTCAACACTAGAACATGTTAGAGGTGAGCACTAAACACTCAACCATCGGAAACCAAGTTGACCGAAGGAGGAAAAAACTACAGGGAGTGAGTTTAGTCGGATGTCGTGTTATATGAATAAAAATTTGGTTTAAAACAATTCAATTCAGTTGAATGCGTGCTCTGAGGATTAATTTTGTTGATAGCCGACTCGATCAAAGGGAGACACGTGCTTATTTAGTTCATAATATAGTGCGTATGTGGGGTTCAATCCATTTATTTATTTAAATTTTGAAAAAGAAACTTGATAGTTAGGAGTAATTATTAAATGGTCATAACTTGGTTGTGTTGCTTACACACTTTTCATCGTTTTACTTCTAATCTCTTCTAAAATATCTGTTTCTTAACATGGACTTGTCTCTATCTTTCGAATTTCTTCATCGTCAACTTTGCCTTCCTTGCTCCTCTGTTCCCCTTCACAATCCAACAACGTCCAAAGGAACAATAACACCCATCACCCTCTTCTGTATCCCACATGTCCGAAACGAACAACACCACCCCATTCTCCACAAAGACAATTCTAAATCCACATCCTTCCTCCTTCACCACCTTTCCTACAAGAATGCGATCCAAAATCCCAGCCAGTGAGCTTCAAGACCCGTTGCCCCACAAAGGAAAAAAAGTTAAGATTTAAGGAACCTAATTCATGATAACCTTTGAGATCAAAAGTTGATAGTATGAGTAGGGAGGAACAAACATTTGGTAATATATATATTTTTACTCACTTTTAATCAAACTGCTTTTCTCATTAAATAATCTTAAACAGATGGAGTGAGTGTGAGTACGAGTCAAAATGCATTGGATTGGGTTGAGCTTTACAAGACTGGAGGCTGCCCTATTTTTTAAAGGCTTTCACTCTAACATTTATCTAATATAGATTTTGTTTTATACTTAATTTAGCCTTTTTAAATGTTTGACTTAAAATCCTATTAAATAAGGTTACAATCATATCTTTACATAGAATGCTAAGTTTACACTTATATGTAGGTTAACAAATTTAAATTTTAAATATACTAATAAGTAATAATATCAAAATATTATATTTAAAATTTAATACAACGATAACCATAATAATATCATTATATTTATTCAAATAAATTGATCTTTAAGTTTAAAAGACTTTTTGAATAATTTACAAGTCTGTTTTCTTAATTAAATAATTTTTTAAAAATCTTGACCTATTTCTTTTTAAAATAAATCTGACCTAATCTAATCTGGGTATGACGTGAAATAGATAATAAGCTTTTCGATGAACAATCTAACCTGTTATTGTACCCAAGTGCGAGCCATGGTTCGAACTAGAATTTAGAATTGTGTTTTGGGCCCGATAATTATGACTTCTTAATCTTGATTATTCTAGCAAAACTGCTGAGTTTTAGAATACGAGTTATTAGACAATTTGTTTACCAATGGACCATCTCAGTGGTCGTCTAGGGAGTGCTAAGAGCCATCATCTATTGGTCGTTGACCTCCTGTAGACCTGTACCACTTCAATTCTATCCTCCAAATTTATGTACAACCATCATCCTGCAAAAATCAATTTTTTTTTAAAAATCCTCTCTAGTTTTCTTTTTTGTGCTAATTCTCTAGTTTATTTTTACAACACCAAACACCTAATTTCATAATTCTTCAGTCAATTTGCCTTAATTACTTAATTCATAATCCTTTCGTGGGATAGGTGATGAAAGATTCGATTGCTGGGACATTGTTTTCAGGCGAGGAGGTGATAGTTCAACATTTACTGCAGGAAGAAAACAAAAATAAATAAAAATGGCTGGACCATCAACCATTAACAATATTTTGTTTCTGTTGCTAAGATGAATACAAAGAAAGCCGTAAAAATAACGTTTACTAAGATAAAGAAACACAGCGAATATGAAGAACACTACCACGAACACTCTTTTCTAGTCGTCTGTCTCATTCAATTTAGCATAAAGTAGTCTCTACCTTCTTATCAAAGTTGGAGACCAGAGGGCTCTCTCAATTCTAAAAGACATTCCTAATATGTAATCTATTTAATGATAAAACTACCCTAAATAAATAAAGATAAATTTATGCTCTTCATTCGAAATGAAAAATTGTAAAATTTTGTATCGATTTAATTATATTTATTATAAAATAAATCATTATAAAGAACTATGGAAAAACAAGTTATAAATCGCCAACATAATAATACTTAAATAGTAAATAGAATATAAGTACACACCAGGAATAATTATGTTTTAATGGTGAACGAGCATGTAATATATGGGTTATAATATAATATTGAAAATTTGGAATCATATAGCGTCAAATTATATTGGATAGGGCCACATAGAATATATTTTCGCCAACCCCTAATTTCAATGTACCCTTACCCCTTTTTTTTTACCAGATTAGAAAGTAAATCAATATATATATATATAAACTTAGAATGTGATTAGAAATATTTTTCAGTTGATTATAACATCTTGTGTGTCTAATAGTTGATAATAACATTAAAAAAATGTATTGTGTGTTTTTGGCGCCATCCTCGATGATTGGTTTTTTAATATATTAAAACTTATGATTAAGGATAAAGGTCTCATAAAATCACAGGACATATTTTATAGTTTAACAGCCATTTACAAAAGAATTTATAATTGCGTTAACGGTTAACACTTAGAAATTTAGCTTGATTGGAATTTTATTTCCTTCTTTTTTCACTCTTCTTTCTCCTCTTCCTAATCCCCTTCCTAATGATAATAATATAAAAAAACTAATCTCAACTTGATTTGACTAACTTAGCTGACATTCTTCACTTTTACGAATGTTGTTGATTTACTAACGTACTTGGAAGAAAAAAAATTAATTGAATTAAAGTTTAGTTTTGTGGTTTTAAATCATCGAAAAGCATAAAAAGAAAAAATATATAACAATGTTAAACAGGCATAGTTTAACAGTTTAATCACCAACAAAATTTCAAACAGTTTATAAATTATTAAGTTCCTTAAATAGATTAATCAAGATTTAATTCTTAACTATATGCACATAGAAAAACTTCGTTGATAAATGTAAAGTGTATATAGGCAATCTTTTTTTTTTTTCCTCAAAAAGTTAATTGTTGGTTAGAAAATACTCAATACTACACGTAAAAGGAACTATTTCAACAAAAGCTGTAAAATGAATGGGCAAAATACTTAAATGAATTTTAAATCAGTAATCCATAATTAAAATGTGAAATGTATCAGTTATGTTATAATTTGAAAAACGACTCATTCGATCGATACGACTCTTTTTTATGAAATTTGTTTGGTAAACAAAATATTAATTATTTTGTTAACAAAAGTCTCTTGGTTTCACCCAATATTTTTTTTAAAACCACATCATTATCATTTTAAAAAACAATATTAGCGTTAGTATAATAGCAGATTAAACCATTAAATAAAACAATGTTCAAACTATTAATTAAGTTCCATTTTTCAAGTATAAGGAATAAAATTTCCCATAAAAGTATGAAGAATAAAACTTTATGACAAACATGGTACGCGGGATCATGCTTTATATATTCTTAAAATATATTGAAAGAAGGTAATGCATGATTCATGAAGGCTAATACATATACATATATAAATGAAACCAAATAAATAAAAATTAAAATAGAGGATGAAAAGATGTACAATAATACCTTTCTCAAACATAGTATCCTAATTCCTGAATTAATTTGAAAATTAATAATAGCTCACAAAAAACGACACAAAGCAGAAGTTATGGAGACATGGAGGAAGTTCAGTCTTTAAGGAGGGGGATTGAGGGTCCCAATCCCAAACCTGAAAACGCTAGAAAACCATACACGATGATTAAGTTGAGCAGCAATGTGAACTATACCAAATTCCCCTTCATATATTCACTTTGCAGCGTGGCCAGCCCATTCATCCAGCTACTTTCTTTTCTCTTTGCTTCTTTTTTTTTAATCAGCTTTACTATCCCCAAAGCGTGTTTCAAACCTCAAACTCCAATTATAAGCCACCACCCCACACATCTCTCTTCTCTGTCACTTCAAACAGCAAAGTGAACAAAAAAAAAAAAAAAGAGAGAGAAAAAGAACCACGCGGCTTAGAGAAACACAAGCTATGAAATCCAAGCCAAGAAAACCAAAACTACCACTGCTCCTACCCTTTATCATTATATCACTCTTCTTACTTCCGACTCCATCATCCTCTTCCTCTTCGACCCCCAATAATGAGGCAAACGAAGCAACCACCGTCACCCATCGATTCAAAGAAGCCCCCGAATTCTACAACTCCCCAGACTGCGCTTCCATCACCGACAATTCCGACAACGACAGCTACATCTGTTCTGACGAAGCAGTACACGTGGCAATGACCCTGGACACCACATACATCAGAGGATCCATGGCCGCAATACTTTCGGTCCTCCAACACTCTTCTTGTCCGCAAAACATATTCTTCCACTTCCTCTGCTCCTCCAACGCGTCCCTCCTACGCGCCGCAATCTCCACATCATTCCCTTACCTCAAATTCCATCTCTACAACTTCGATGACTCCATAGTCTCGGGCCTCATCTCCACCTCCATTCGCTCCGCACTCGATTGCCCCCTCAACTACGCGCGCTCCTATTTGCCCAACCTCTTACCACTCTGCGTCCGGCGCGTGGTCTATTTGGACTCCGACCTCATCCTAGTCGACGACATTGCAAAACTCGCAGCTACCCCATTGGGACAAAAATCTGTGTTGGCAGCACCCGAATACTGCAACGCCAATTTCACTTCCTATTTTACCCCTACCTTCTGGTCCAACCCATCTCTTTCCCTCACTTTTGCAAACAGAAAGCCCTGTTATTTCAACACGGGGGTGATGGTGATCGATTTAGAACGGTGGCGAGAAGGGGATTACACGAAGAAGATTGAGGAGTGGATGGAACTTCAGAAGAGGATGAGAATCTACGACCTGGGTTCTTTGCCGCCATTTTTGCTTGTGTTTGCTGCGAACATTGCTCCGGTGGATCACAGGTGGAACCAGCACGGCCTCGGCGGTGATAACTTTCGTGGGCTCTGCAGAGATCTTCACCCTGGACCCGTTAGTCTCTTGCATTGGAGTGGCAAAGGTAAACCGTGGGTTCGATTGGACGCAAATAGGCCTTGTCCTTTGGATGCTCTTTGGGCACCCTATGATCTATTGCAAACTCCCTTTTCTCTCGATCCTTGAACAAACCTCACTTCGTATACGTATTTGGGATTCATATATACACACATACATACGTATATATATATATATATATATATATATATATATATATATATATACATGCACATACATACAGTCGGAGGAGGGAGAAGGGGCAAGATTGAATAATCCATTTTTGTAGATTCACGGAGAGTTTGAAGTAAAACGAATTCAAATGTAAAGGGCGAAGATGGTAAGTGATGAATTTTGAAGTGTTGTATCAGATAACTGTGCATATCAAAATAGCTAGCTCTATGTTTTGGATGCGTGAATTCATGAACTATGTTTTTGGTTTCTAATAATGAGAACGTAATAAAGTTGTGTATAGATTATTGATTGTTCTTACTTCACAACTATATCCTCTTCTTTAATTGCGTTCTTCTTTTGCTTTTGTTTTCCATAATGGTAATAAATGATGGGAGTTGCTTGGGATTTCTTCCTATAATCATGTGTTCATGCACATGGAAGCGATTACTTTATTCTACGAACCTGAATCCTAAGCGAGGCCAGGGAATCACACGTTACCGTGTTCAGTTTCTAATGATTGATTTACTGCGAAATTTCTTAAAATTTTGAGGTAAAAAGGACAATAATATTAAATAATGTTTTATATTTATTTATCATTTTTTAAAGTTTAAGGGGATGTTCATTATTTCTTTATTAATCATACTCTTAATATAAAATAAAAAATATATAAAGTAGTATAATAAAAATTATATGATGATTTCAATAAAAGCAAGGACAATAAATCTATTCTTAACAAATAAAAATGTTGGGAGTATTATTTTTCATTCATTTGAAATATATGCTTTTATCTCCACTATTGTATCTCGTTGTCACTTAATTAAATAACCTTAATAATACGGATAAAAAACATATTTTACTAAAATAATTAATCAAATAATATATATATATATATATATATATATATATATATATAAGAACTGATATCGAGAAGAATAATTTTGTAGGGATGACAAAATATTTCAAATAGTTTTTGTCGATTTGTTATTTAATTTTTTGAGAGATATGGAAATATATGATTGATAAGGATTTCACTTCTAATGTATAAAAAACTAGAAAAAAATTATATTACAGAACATTGACTAAATTAATTAAACAAAAATATAAATATTTTTTAAACTCTAGCAGTGTTTAACAATTTCATTAAATACTTATGATAATTTAACAAAAAATTAATAAACGCCACTTTTAATTCCGTCATAATTTCCTTAACTCATATATTAAAAAGAATAAAATACTTTGACGCTCCATTTTTTTTATGGATAACAAACACAAATTGTCAAATATTAACTAATTGTATTGGAGAATTTGGTTAACAATATTAACATTTTTTATTTTCAATAAATATTTACAATATATATGGTTTAAGAAAATATTTTTTATTAAAAAATATCATTATTTTGTTCTTATTTTCAAAAAACATATAGGAAAAATTTAAAAATATTTTTATACAAATACTAAATAAAAATAAATATAGTATAATATATATATATATATATATATAAATATTTTCTAAAATCAAATAATATTTTTTAACAATCTTGCGATCGGCATTTGTCTTTCTTCACAACTACTTGTGCGTTTGGTTGAATATTTTTGCATTAGAATATTACTGGTTGCCAGGCTTTTGATTCGTAAATGTTAATTGATCTTTTTATTTCGTTTATTTAAAACATAAAAGCAAATATTTTTTTTCATATAATTATTTGTTAGTTTAATTTAGAAACAAATTAATATCACATCAATTTGATAATGATCGGAGTGATAGAAATCGACATGAGGTCAAAGTCAAATTTGATATTAATATATGATATAAATACTTACCTACCATTGTATAAAAAATAGTCTACTGTGCAAAATAAGCAATTGACAAGCGGAAAAAAAAAAAAAAGCACAATATCTCGAATAACAAGATTCTTTGAAAAATGTCATTTTTAAAAATTTATATGCTGATTATGCTCTATATTCTTTGAATTGTAGATCATTGTAAAGTTCATCATTGATCAATGACTGAATAATAAAAATAATAACTTTATTATTCACTTCACAACTTGCAGGATCTTATTAATATTGATTTTATTTCCGCTTCTCATTCCTTAATCCTTTTTGTGACCATAAACCAATTATTACTGATACTTTAGCATTAATATTAAATTTAAAAAGAGAAAAAGAAAAAGTAGTGTCGGTAGGGGAAGAAAGAAAGAAAGAAACGTGGGAAAACATCAAGATATCTCGCAGGGCGAAGAAAGATTCTTATAACGACGCGTGTCGAATAGTGAGTGGCTGAAGAATGGCTTGAAAGTCTTTCTGACAATACGATGATGAAATAAATATGATTCGGTGATGCGATAATTCCTATGATACATAAGATATGATATGTGATCGATGCATACTTAAATACGTATAAAAAAATCATACAAAATAGAAAGATAATCCTAGTATTACTGAGCACGAAGACATTTTAGTTTAGTGTTCTGATTTTAATGCGTATTTTTTTTTGTTCAATGCTTTCTATATTGTTTTTATTTGATTTGAACATAATTATTTTAAAAAAATATTGATAATTTAAAGTAAAAATATATATAATCATATGTCAGCATATAAAAATTTAAAACACTTTTTAATATTATTAAACATGTAAAATTAGTTATTATCATCAGTAATGGTTTTATTGGCTGTAAATAAGAATAGTTTAAATTTTAGTTCATCAATATTTGATGCTTCTACTTTTCTATTGTATACATATTTTTAAATCTCAGTGTCGTCTTAAATTTTTGTACTTTTTTTTAATAAAAAATCAAATACTTCATAAATAAGTATTTGTGAAATGTTTCAGAAAATCACAGTTAGATACATATTCGATGCAGATGTGTAAAATAAATATAAACTTTTTAAAAGTATTTATAGGTATTTCTACATTATTTTTGGATTAATAAGTTAATAATTTTATTTAACAAAAACAAGAACTCAAATGTTTTGAAAATTAGTTTATTAAAAACATCACAAGTGACATTTTATTTAATTAAGTAATTATAAATTATAAACTTTTAACTAAAATTCGTTGAAGCTAACTTTATCAAATAAAACCATAATTTACCATGCGAGTAGCTTTTGTTTATGGGCAGGGCCCTTTTCCATCCCGACGACAATACCTAGCTAAAGATTGTTGTCCTCGCAGACTCTGTATCCCTGTCAAAGATACATTTATAATTTTTTATAAAAAAAATTATAATTTTTTATTAATAAACTAGTAACTTATTTAATAAATGAAAATATAATTTTCAAAGTATTTATAACAAAATATTTCAAATAACATTAAACTTACTAAAAATTAATAAGATATTGTGTATCCTTATGCACATACCTAAAAATAATTTTAAAATGATACAGTTACAAAATTGTTTTCTGTTTTTTTTGGTATTTGCTCATGTAATAGCAGTAGTTATTATTTTATTATTGTAATATTTAAGGTCAACGTTATTTTTTATTACTATTGTTAGAAAATAGAGACTAATAAAAACACATATTCTGTGGCAGAATTGTTATTGTCACTAGCAAATTTTAAAAGGAAAAGTATAGGGTTGACAACACATTTTTATATTTGAAAATCACAAAAATAAAAGTTAAATATTTAAAATTAAAATTTTTATCTTTTCAAAAAAATAAAACTATTTCAATGGACCCAAAAAATTTGTTTTTGTTTTTGATTTTATTGTCTGAATATCATGAACAAGGTAGAGAAGGTTAACCGTTTAAGGATTGGTTCATGCGCATTGGCCAATTGAATTGGTATTTTGGGTTAATGGCATATGGATATTACCTTGATAAATTGCTCTAGTTTATGGAATATGGTTTTTTTTTGGTCGAAGGTCTTTGTAATCTAGTCGTGAAATTAGACCAAAGCAGCCCAACAACCAACATAGAATTATCAGATTCGAGCCTAAATGGAAAGGCCCAGTGAATTATGAAAAAACAATTATTCTCTAACTTAAAGATTTGCATACAATTTTTTATTTTAAAATCTTACAATAAGATCTTATTTATCTTATTCTTTACAATTTTTTGAAAATGAGAATGGTATGCTTGTATAAAATAATGCGGGCAAATAGAATAACTCGTGAAAGTTATTAATTAGTTACATGTTTATCTTGAAACCTTGGGTGGTGTTCATATTAATGTGTAATCCTGTATATTTGGGAATGAGTTTTTAAAGATCATAGCAAATATGAAACCTGAAGTTTTTATTTATTTATTCATCCAAACAAGTGAAATGGGTAAAAAAATGAGAAATAGTTAGGACCTATGTACATATTAAAAACATTTCAAATTTATTTTACATATTTATTGAGTTTAAAGTAGTCAAAATGGAGATAAATATACCCGGTAGTTATAACGACCCGTTTCTGGTAGTCCACGTTCTTTAACCCCTTCCACGGTTTTATCCTGAAAATGCAAAGAAATAGTGTAACATTTTTCTTTCTGCTTCATTGAAATTAATTAAAGAAGTAACTTTGTGAAAGAGAAGTCAAGTCTCGGGGCCGTAGGTCAGTCTCTCAGGCAATTTCCTTGCAATGACAACATCATCATTCGAAGTTCAAACACCTTGTCTTGCAAGTTGCAACAATTTGGAACTCAAAATCTCCAATATCCCTTTCTATATATTTAATTAACACCAACAGCACCCTTTGCAATCCTAAAAGTGTTCAGTGACAAGTAGAGCATGGCATCTTCCAAATGGTTATTCTCTTATAAGAACTTGTTCAAGATAATAACCTTTCCGTGCTTAGCTCCTTCCACAACGCCCAAATCATTACCGGCTATTGACGGTGACACTGCGCCTCCCCTGATTGGGCCGTCGAACGAGCACGGCCCAAAAGACGACGAGAGGCTCAAAGATGTTTTTGATCACTTGGACGTTGACAAAGATGGTAAAATTTCAAGCAAGGAACTAACGGATTATTTTGCGTCGGTGGGTGAGTCGGTGAGCCATAAAGTGGCGATGAGGGTGATAAATGAGTTCGACTCTGACGGTGATGAGTTACTTGATTTCGCGGACTTTGTCAGACTTATGAAAGAAGAGGAAAGCGATGAGTTGGAGGATATTCTAAGAAGCGCATTTGAAATGTTTGAGGTTGAGAAGGGGTGTGGTTGCATAACGCCCAAGGGGTTGCAGCAGATGTTGCGCCAACTGGGTGACGTTAAATCTCAGGATGAGTGTGCGGCCATGATTCGAGCCTTCGATCTTGATGGCAATGGCTTCCTTGATTTTCATGAATTTCAGCAGATGATGTCCCCAGCTACTTAGGTTTTCCCTCAACTCCACTTTGTTGGTGTAAAACCAACATTTCACGTAACACACACGGTTTACTCTAGCCAAGGGGTGATAAATATATATATGTCTTCTCTCTTCTTTAATACCCTAGTAAGAAAACTTTACTGATTTTTGTTTTAAGTTTCCCTGTTTAAATGTGAAAATTTTTACCCTACGTTATTATTGTATATATTTATCTTTGTTTTATATTTTTATATACATTTTATTTTAAAGTTAAAAATTATTATTTTTATACGTTTTATTGTTCACAAACTATTGTCCTTTAATTGTTCATAGTATTTGCTCGTATTTTTTTATTTGTATGGATGAAGTTGCTTTCCAAATCGACGTAGGATCTTTAGAATGCTTAGAAAAATATAAAGGTGGTTTAAAATTTATAGGTCCAGTTAAAGTTTACAAAAGATTCCTTCCTGAAAAGAAAGTTTAAATAAATTTAATGTAAGAACAAGTATGGTTGCCTTTGGTTATTTTGATTAACTTGCTGAAATAAGTTTTAAGAAATTTTAACAAGGTCACAACTAGTCAAATTCTTAAACTTGAACAAATATTGTTTATACGTTAAAGTAAACGTAAATATACTTTATAAAACCTGTTCTAAAATACACCCTGCATTTAAAATTATAAGTATTGATTAATTTAATTTTTAAAAATATAAAAAATTATTCTAGTACATAAAACTTCAAACAACAACTAAAGTCATGATATTATCAAATGATAATCATTTTAGCTTTTTAACTTCAAAATTATACTCTAAAATAACTCATGTTTGATAATTTCAAAAATTGAATGATATTTTGTAATTTTAAAATTTATTTTACTCAACAAGGGATATAAAATATTTTTTATGCATATATCGTTTGTAATAAGGGATAATAAAAAAGAATGATATTTAAATTTTTTATTTTAAATATATATTTTAATTCAATAATTTTTTAAAATAATTTATTAGTATAAATTCAGTATATTATTCATTAGTTAAGCTCTGTTACGTATATCAATTCAACGTATATGTTAAAAAAATATTTACAAACAGTTGATTTGAGGAGAGATTTGAAAACGATTTTACACGTGTTTCAATGATAAAAACTTTTATTTTTGCCATAAGTGTATATTTTTTTTAACGTATATTATGATGGGTCGATATATTTAGCAGAACTTTAAATTTCTGTAAGTCAAGTTAATAACTAATAACAAATTAACAACAGAGACTAAAAATAAAATTTTAAAAAATTAAGAATAAAAATAAAATAACATTTCAGACCTTAAAAAATTACTATATTTATGGGCAACAGTAACAAATTTGAACCTTTGGTTTTTAAAAAAATGGTATCCAGTACTTTAAATACTTTAAGGGTATTTGTATAACAATTGAAAAAATATATAATTTTTTTGTTGAAAAACATAAAAATACATTTGTTTTTATAATTTTTAAAGTAGCTTAATGCAAAATTTTAATAATAAATTATTATTTTATAATGATTTTTAATTGATGCTATAAGGATATTTATATTTAATTTTAAGTTTATTTTTGTCATTGAACTTTAGTCGACTTAAAATTCTTCAACTTAAACTATTCGCTCGATAACCCTGTACGGATGATGACTTATGAGGAATTCGCTTGGAAAGTTTAAAAATAATATTATTTATTATTATTATTTTATGTAAATATTAATTAGTTTACAATTATGTTATGTTTCAACTCTTTTAATAGAGTACAATAATAAAAAATTATTTGATCATAATAATTAGTGTAATTTAATATGTAAAAATGTTGGGTTATGAAAAAATACAATTACGAAAAATTTTGATAACATAATTTTTTTGGGTCAACAATGACGTAGAATTATTGTCACTGCCTGGATTGTATATCCATTAACTAAAAGTGTGAAAAATCATCACTTTGTCAAAGCTAATATGCCTAAGTGCCTTAATTCTGATTCTCAAACCAGTAAGCCAAAAGCATTTTCAATGGAAAGAATGAGATGCAATTTGTATCGATAATTTAAGCTGGAAAATTCCCTGTCATCCGGATATGGTGAAGGGTCTTCGGTAGACCATACTTGCGCACTGCTTTTTGACCTCTCCTAATCCATCTCCATAAACACGGGACGTTTCTGATTCTATCTGATGCTTGAAGAACTCCCCAAGTGTCCTCTCAAACTCAGGTATTTTACCTTTGATAGATGTATTCGATGTAGATAAGGATGAAGGTGGTTCCAACTTGTTATCTGATGCTGATGAAAGCTCTGCCTCCAGCCACATGTGACCCATAAGCTGGCACAAACCTTCTTCAACATCTTCACTTAGGGTCATGTAACCTTCATAAATATAGTATATAATTATAATTAGTATGTTGAAAGATAATACGAAAAATGAAAATCATTAATTTGACATGTTGTAACCTAGGAAAATGCAGATACACTCCACATGCAAAGGACTTCTCAATCATAAACACTAACTGAATAAACAAATTCCTTGCAACAGAAGAGTACCTTGAAGTCGTAACCATGCATGCATCATTTCATGAGCTAGGATTGATCCAGTGAGCAACCTGTAAATTAAACAGAATTGCATCCACCCTTAGAGTGATTCTACTAATCTAAAGATGATGACTAAGGAGTTTTTTCTCTTGGATGTAGGAAAATTTAACAATCATGCAAACATACACAGATATACTTGCAAGCATATGCGGAATACCGTAGAATTATTTATCTACTCACTAAGCTTGGGGCGTGTCTCCAACTGATATAAGTTGTAAAAACAGAGAGTATTAAATTATTACCTTGGAAGACCATACAAAATGAGTATTGCTGTCACCTTAGAGTGTCGAGTATCTTTGTGAGTTTGTGTTCTTATGCCAGCTGTTCTATTTCTTGTCCCAAACCGAGGTCGCTTAGAGATCTACTCAGTATTAATGCAATGTACAATTGATATCTAATTATTTGAGGTTCTTAAAGAAATTGTATCATTTAATAAAAAAATTAGAAAAAGTATCACCAAAACAGAATTTACAAAAAAAAGAATCTGACAGTGCGAATAATCAGTACTTCTAAGAGGCATGCTCCTCTGGTCTCAGGCATGAGATAATAGTGTTCCTGACCCAGATATACAAACAAATAAGAAAATTATTAAAAGCATTTCGCTTCAAACAGCAACTGATTATAAACCAAGCTCCATTTTTGAAAGCATTAAACTTGGATAAAATTATTTACTGTGAAGACTTGGCTTTCAAACATGACAATGCTTGTTTGTTTCATTCAAAAACAAACTAGGGAAAAAATTTTCACTTGAAAAAGTTTGTGCTTAAAATATCACTTTTGAGGAAAGTAACGCAAAGCAGTATTATTTTCTTTACAAAGCGACAATTCCAAACACTACAAAGGGAGCCTTGTATGTCCCAACAGCTGAATATCATTAAGATTAAATTATCAACTGGCTTAAATACATTATCTCTTACTCTCTTTTTTTCCCCCTCTCTTGCTTCATTCAGCACTTGTCTTTCAACTTGGAACAGTGGAATATGATCTTCCAGCTTCATATCTAGACCTTCGTAAAATTTCTGTATGGCAATATAAAGGGTTTGATATTCATTGGTATCCATAATAGCAGATTCCAGACACTCTAAGCAGAGTTTCCGGCCATCAATAAGAGCAATATATCCTGTCTCTCGTGGCTGCATACAGCGAGACACAATCTTTTCGTTACACAATTTACCTTTCCGTTTTTTTTATCTTTTAATTTCCACCGTACATGATAAACCTCATTTTCCTTGGCAAGCCAATTAATGAATCCTATTTGATCAAATGAAAAAACTTCATTCACACACTGACCTCCATTCGCTCACAGCTGCAACAGTGTGAAGTACCATCAACTATATGAGATGGGCAAAACTTCTGGTTCCAGAATAGATGCGTCTTATACTCAACAAGACCAGCAGGGCTTGTTGGAATCTGTCAGAAGATGTAAATGTTTCTCAAAAAATTATCAGCTATTGGGTAATATAACTGAAGTCAGGGTGAAAACTTGATAATATAGCATATGAAAAGTTATAAAAATTAGGAACCACTGAAAATACTGTCACCAGAGGACAAGATGATGCCAGAAGCACCTTATAGCAAGGTAGTTAAAATCCCGATTTGAATCTTAAAATCTTACGATTTTACGATTTTGGAAGTCTCACCGATTTAAATTGTGGATAAAATCCTAATTGAGTAAAATCCTTGTAAAATCCCGATTTGAATCATAAAATCCCTCAAATTGTGGGATTTTACTATTTCACTTCGATTTTGAAAATTTCTCGCAAAGTATTTTGTTGAACCCTATCGTACGCCTCTTTCATATATCTCCTTTTTATGGAATCTAATTTGCCTCTAGCAGCTTTGAACCCTAACATTGTTATTAACATTCAACAGTCCTCCTAGTGCGTGCAACCTGGTCTGCAACTAAATCTATTGTTGTTGTTCTTGCATCTTTTCTGTTTTAGTCTATTTTTTATTCATATAAATGCATTACATTCTTATGGAATAAATTATGATTTGTGAGTGCTACGTTGTTTAAGTACTTTTACTGATTTGAAGCTTTTTTTCCTTAATTTATGATATTTTATATGAATAATATGAATTTATATCATATATATGAATTTTATAAAATCTTACGATTCAATTTACGATTTTACGATTTACGATTTTCACTCTCTTTTACGATTTAAAGTAAAATCCCAATTTTAACTACCTTGCCTTCTAGTACTCTCGTGATTTACTGTGGCAACAAGTTTGTTGTGAGAATAGGATATTCGGTTCTCCTCATCAAGTTTTACATATTATTTAGCCTTAACTATGATTTACTGGATTTATCTATTCCTGACTTAAGGAGGGAAAAGGCCTCTACCTTTCCTAAACCTTAAAGCAAGCCCTTGAGTAACAAGGGCGATCTCCCTAGAACTTACTTATTTATCTAAAAGTAAGTATAAACTC